GATAATCGGTAAGCGAAACAGCTTACCGATCATCGCAAAGCGATTTTCCCCCATAGAAAACATCGTTATGTGATCGCAAAAGTGATCGCAAAAACATCGTCGCTATGCGGATTCGTCGTTAAACGGGGCGCCCGTTATGCGAGGCACCACTGTACTTACAGGCCTCCAATCTCCTCATTGGGCTACACTAGTAATGGTCGCCATTGCACCCCTCCTCTGGACCACTGCACCAGCAGAGGGGAGTGCCAAAATCTTGGACGGGTAAGTATTTCTCGATGGTGACTTGGCTCATGTGCCCACAGAGAGGTCTCTGTGTGCCAGCTGTGGCACACGTGCCATTAGGTTCGCTATCACTGCCCTAGACAGTGGCTAAAACCGAGGAAAAGTTTTCCACATGCATCTCAAGTTCTAAATATTAAATCAGAAGAGGCTAGGCTAAATCTACGGAGAGAACAAACAACACACCTTGATGAATGGTTGAACGGTGAAGAGTATCTCCCACCAGGATAAGACTCTAGCTGGACCATCTGGAAGGCCTTTAATAGACTTCAAAACAAAATAGGAAGGTCAAAAAATAATCAAGTAAAATTGTACTTGGATACAAGACAATTTTTCTGTGACTGTGGAGAAATTCAATCCGTTCAGCACTTATGTGAACTCAATTTATGCTACACCACTTGTACAAAAGAAGATCTGGCAAATGGCTATGATAAATCTATTGAAGTAGCATGCTTCTGGAAAAAAACCCTGTAATTTTAAATTGTGCAATGCTCTGATATGCATAAAGCAAGCAAGCACTTTTTTATGTTCTCTGAGGTACTTTTTAGGTTCATTGTTGAGAAGAGTTAGCTGGTTCCCTTCATAAGGGAAATTTTTTTCTCCACTGAGATCCATTTAATGTAAAGGTTTATTGAATTATTTATTATTACTGTTACATGATATCATTATTTACCTCTTCCTTCAAGAACTTGAGACGTGGGTTCAATAAAATGAATTTGTAGCTGGGAATTTGCAAACTAAATGCAAGGGCTTAATGACATTAAACTTTCATTTTTCTGCCACAGTAATGCAAGGCAGAAGAACCAAACCATAAGGAATGTATGGAGAAGCAATATAGCTAGGAGGAATGAGGATAACGGTCTTTGACTGGTAACCTACTGTAGATCCACACATTTTCCAATAGCTTAAATGCTATTTTGTACCCTTCAGCAATGTATTGACTGAATTTGGTCTGTTTTTCTTTCTATTTTGTTTTTACTCTGTTTTAGGTATGTTTATGTCTTAAGCCCCATTTTTTTAGTAGAAAACAATAATAGAAATGTAATATTTTTATTTTATTTTATTTACCCCACTTTTCTCCTAAGTGAGCTTGAGAGTTTATACAGCTTGAAACTGGTTGAGGCCCATGGGTTGAAGTTGGCTGATGTTGACTGACAGACTTGGGGGGACTTTGGTAGACAAAAACTGGTGGCATCTACCCACGGAAACGAGCAAATGTTGCAAGGTAGAAGCTGGCAGAGGTTGGAGGATGCAAGCCAGCGGAAGGTAGCCTCCTGAAGCCAGTTGGCGGAACTTGGTGGATATCAGCGGATGGAAGCCAAGGTACGTGTGTGAAAGACTGGTGGAGAGTGAATGGGAGTTGGTTGGTGTTTCTTGGGTGTGTATATGGCCAATTATTTGAGAGCTGGTGGAAGATGGCTTCAGAAGCAGAGTGGAAGAGGTGAACCAGATTCTTGGTGGAAATCAGTGGATGCTGGGAAGACATGGTAGTACAGTACAGAGGCTAGGGGATGTTGCTTGGGTTGAAGCTGATGGGGGGGGAGTGGACAAGCACATTCCTTATCTGTTTTTTTCTCTTTGTCTTGCAGGGGCAAAGTGTGTGATGTGCGGGATCACAATGTTGGAGAGATACCAAGCTGTCTCTGCAAGGGTCCAGGATAGGTGTTTGACCTCTTTTCAAAAACCAATAAAAGTGTTATCCAGAAATGCTTTTGAAGTTTTTTCTTGGTCTGTCATGGGCTGTCACAGGAACATCTTCCCCATCCTTTGAAATTTCTGGGGTGAAATGACATGGGATGAGTTTTTGTGAGGTCATGGTGTCAGAACTTGTGATCTTGTAAGAGGCAGAAGTCTTTCTAACAATGGCAAAATAATGTTTGTGCATGCATGTGTGAGGGAATGAAACAGGCATTGTGGGTTTCCTGTACAAACAAAGGAAGCCAGTAGCCCTGGTGCCAATTCAGAGGGCAAGAGGTGTGTACCCAAGCACTATGGCCATGCTGTAAGGGTAAGCCAGCCTTGTTTCTCCTCTTCTACCATTGGCCCTCCTTGGAGATTCAGGGGAGCACAACCGTTAAGGCCTCATGCCTATAACAGGGTAAAAACAAAAGCGAAAAGCAGACCAAATTCAGGCAATACAACGGTACAAAATAGCATTTAACCCATTAGAAAATGGGTGAATCTACAGCACCAGTTCACCTATAACAGGGTAAAAACAAAAGAGAAAAGCAGACCAAATTCAGGCAGTACTGTACAACGATACAAAATAACATTTAACCCATTGGAAAATGGGTGAATCTACAGCACCAGTTCAACATGCTTGTTCTCATTCCTCCTAGACATGTTATTGTGCCATAAATACCTTCAGCTTGTTCCTCTGCCTTGCGTAAGTCAGAAAAGTGAAAGTTTAATGCCAGGAAGCCTTTGCATCAAGCTTGCAAATTCCCAGTCACAAACTGAACGCAGTGAACCAGTTTTGCTGGATTAAAGACATTGCAATCATGCTTTTTTTGGAAAGCAGTCACCATAATTTTTTTTAAACCCCTGCTCTGACCACTCTTACCCAGAACCCCCACGAGCCATTTGGGCATCCAGGGCTTATCTCCCCCTCACGCTTGCCATGAGGCCCAGGCATGATTACCCCGCCCCTTCATGAAAATGAAGTTGTAGGATGTGGCGTCTTCCAAATAAATGTAGGTTTTTTTAAAAAAGGAAAACGAATGAGGCGAGGGTTGGTGATTTATATTTTTAGCACTCATTAATACATTCATGTGCATTTTTGGGGGGGCGCACTGGGCCAAAACCGTTCTTCTGCTCTTACTGCATTCTAGTTACACACATATGACAATAAAAACAACAATAAAAACGAAAAACTAAAAGCGGACGCAACTGAAAGACCGGCCGTTTCCTCTCTTATGGGAGCGTTCGTGGATCACAATCCACTTTCTCATTAAACGTTAGTGCTCCACGGCATTAAATCGGATTTCTCCCCCTTTTAACTGGCCTAACTTTACTTTTTCCTTTTTGCTGCACATGCTTTTGGAGCCGAAAGGGCTTGTGAGACGCCTTCCTGAAGCGTAAACAACGAGAACAACACAAGGCCTGAAACGAGAAAAAAAGCGAGCCCCACAAAAGTGGAGCAAAGGCGAACGGCAGGCCGTTGGCAGGAAAAGAAGGGCGTGTGTTTAGAGGTGGGGTGAGAGCCTTGGCGGTGCCAACAGCCGAGTGGGAAGGTCTGGTTAAAAAGCCCCACGAGATAGCAAGGGTGTGAGTGCGTGTGTGGGTGTGTGGGTCGGTGTGGTTACAAGGCGGGTCGGGTTCAACCGATCTGGGCGGCCAGAGGGAAGCGGGTGCGTCAAAAATCGAGGCCACCGCCTCACAGGCAGAAGGAGCCGAAGGCGACCGACAGAAATCGCTTTGCTGTTTCCCGCCTCAGTCGTGAGTTGTGTTGTGTTGTGTTGTGTTGCGCAGGAACAGCGTGGAAGGGGGTGGGAGTGTGGGTTTTTACAGGGGGATTTTTCTCGGTGGCACAAAGGTGTCCCGCGCAAAGCAAGCGCGCGCAAGCCGCTGACAAAAAGCCATCGGGACTGAACTTTTTTTAAGGGGGGGTGCCTCTTTTTTTTTTTTGCACCTTTTGACGCGGGACTTCTAGACTCCTCGTCGTAGGTAGTGTGTGTGTGTGTGTGTGTTTTAAACACAGAAACCGAAGTTGCGATTAATAATACAGGGATATTAATACAGTAATAAAAAATGACGCAGACGATGGGTACATAGGTTCGTTTTGAAAAATGTGCAGGGCTTTGGGGACGTCGGAACAGAATCAGTCGCGTGTCTGCGCGCGAGATTTCAAGGCCCTGCTTCGTCGAAAGCAATGTGAACTGTTTTTTTAAAACAACGGTTTCGGATTACAAAGGAGGGCCATCTTCCTCTCGATGGAAGACGATCGCCGCAGTTTTTTTAAAATACATGTATTTGTGTGTGTGTGTACACACACACAATTTTTTTAAAACAACGGTTTCGGATTACATCTCTCGATGGAAGACGATCGCTGCAGTTTTTTTAAAATACATGTATTTATGTGTGTGTGTGTGTGTGTACTCTCTCTCTCTCTCTCTCTCTCTCTCTCTCTCCGCAAAAATAATTGCCAGTAAGCATTGAATTTTAATGTTAATACAGGCCTAATTTCTTAGGAGGTGCGTGAGATGAAACACTTTAGACTGCAAGTAAATGCATCCTTCCCTGCAAATACTATTCAGCCATGCCTGCATATAAAAGAAAATGCCAGGTGTGCCAGGAAGAAGGTGGTTTTCTGTGTACAGGAATATGTTTATAACGTTTTCCTATATGATCTACACCTCCAGGACAGACATGGGTTTTCTGCTTGTTAAGGACCCACTCTTGATACTTTCTGAACCCAGAAAGACCCTAGTTTTTAAACCATTAGCTTTTGAATTCACCTTCAAGGTCTTCTCATCAGAAGTTGCAAAAGTTATTTTTTTTGGAATACAACTCCCAGGTTCCCTGTAGGAAATTGAATATGGCTGGGGCTTCTGGTTACTGTTATCCAAAAACAACTTTTTTCAAGTTTTGTTCCAAATGTATTCAGTCTCAGGACCATACAGATAGGGGAAGAAAAGAAGGTGGTGATCAAGATAATTTCTCTCCCTCCCCACCCTTGTGGTGTAGTTATTTCTCTGATCCTGTTTAGCAGTGAGAGTCATAATCAATTACTAAATGTTTTTGTTGGCTTTCAAGAGAAAATGAATGGAAACCAGTCCCCAAGTGTTTTACCAAGTTTGTTCTTCTGTTATGAAAGAAAGTAAAATCCAGACTCCTTTAATTAATTAATTAATTAATTAGATTTATACCCCACCCATCTAGACCAAAGGTCTGCTCTGTAAATGGGTAAAATATTATTACCCATTGATACTATAGATGTAAAACTTACGTGGCTTCTTGATTGAAATGACCACAGATCTGATAGTTTTATATTTATTTGAATCTATCCTAGTTACTTGTGATTGATTCATTATTAAAATATAATTTGGATTTCCTTACAGGAGTGAATGATTGACATACTAAGTGTTAAAGATTCATTAACTTCCTTTTAAATCAATTAGTTTTAACAGCAAATGCAGTTATCCTTTTTTTGGAAAAAAATGCATTTGCAGGAGAGGGGAGGGGGGAAAGACAGCTCTCCAGTTTGACGTGGGTAAGATTTGAGTGAATTGCATTTATTTTTATAAGCACACTTCAATCAAGCCTGACTAAATGTAATTTGTTTGGCCTATCCTCCCCCATGCCTCTTTCCTTCTGGAGCAGCACTCCCCTGCCATTGGGTGAGGAAACGGACAGATTAAAATTTTTGCTAATTTGGAAGTCTGGTGTTGTGACCTTTAGCAAAGAAAATGTACAATGGCACATAAGAACAGAGGATAGTAGAAAAGTAACTTCAGAGTTGTTTAGAGACAGCCAGTATCATATCTGACTAACAACATGCTGGCTTATGGCCCAGAAGTAACTGAGGAGGAAATTCCACAGTGCTGCTGGTCTCAGTTGTAAAATACTGGCTGAGATCCAGTTGTGACTTGCAACTAGAGTAGACCCATTGAATCAGTGGGGATTTGGTAAGTTGCCTCCTTTCAAAGTTTCACAGATTCAATGGGTCTACTCTGATGGTGACTTAACTGCTGGATTTTAGCCACTAATAAATAACTAATAATTTGTTGCTCTTTATTAACAATTGAGGTGGAACTCCTGCTAAGCCAAGAAGCAAATTAGGGAACCTTGAATGAGCCACTTTCTCCTTTAATAAAATTAGAAGTACTTCTCCAGAAAACAGGAGGTACATGAACCCGGGCGGATCAAAATCAAAATGTTAATGCTTACATATAAAGCCCTAAACGGTTTAGGACCTCGATACTTGGCGGAAGACTTACTCCCAACTAGTTCTACCCATGTCACCCGCGCGAGTCAGGAGGTGAGGCTGAGGAGCCTCACGCTGAGGGAGGCCCGGAAGGAAAGAACTAGATATCGGGCCTTCTCGGCGGTGGCTCCTCGCCTCTGGAATAACCTACCTCCGAAGATTCGCGTTGCACCCTCGCTGGGTACTTTTAAGAACCAACTAAAAATGTGGATGTATAGGCAGGCCTTCCCTTCCAGTTAATTTCTGTCCTCTTTCCTTTTTTATTCTTTTTCTCTTTATTTGATTTATTTTGTATTTTCCCCAT